AACTTGGGGGGGGGGAGTGCTGTAAACACTAAAATCTAAGAAATATTACTTTGAAATGGGATAGGAATTGATTTGCACATAAGGAAGAATCTGTGGAACACGTTGTCGCTGTGTGCGTCATCGTATGCCTGCATGTCTGCTCGCCAGGATTGGGAGGTGCGGCCGTACAACTCTGTGTGCAGCGACCGTACAAACAGTGACCAATCATCAACCTCTGTTTAACCTAATCCCCCATCCTGATCATGAGTAGCTCCCTCCGTGTACACACTTGATCTGCAATATACGTCCTGAATAAACGTGCTCCGTGCTGCACGTCTGTTTCCTTGATAGCTGGGCTATAGCTTAGTTGGTTCTGAGAGTCTAGCTAGATGTATTAGGATCCGCCATAGAGATTTCTGAGTCAGTCAGGCTTTACTAAGGTAGCAATCCGCTACAAATCTACGCCTAGAAGCAGCCGGTTTTCTTTTAGTGGCAACTCTACCGGTTAAAAGTGCTATTTAAAATAAAATTTCCTTAAAATAAATAGAATTTTTGACGACGCAGTTGCAATTTATTGTTCCATAAGATTTGCTGTGTAACCCAATGAATCCTAATTACCCAAAGTCACTAAATCTAACCGTTGTCGCTTCCACAATATTATATAAATTCAAATACATACATATAACTGATAAAATTATTCCTAATTATTTTATAATCCGCCCATTTCAATGCTAGTGTGTCCCAATGTATATTCTCTAAATATGAACAAATTTGAAAACTAGAAACTAATCCCGATAAGTTGAGTTGAGTTGAGCTTTCGATATTTAAATATTCTTCTGTATTTTGCGCGGCATTGCGAAAATCTGAATCTTTCAACCGATTATTGGACGGAAAGCTTCGGAAAAAGTTTAAATGAATGCCGTAAGATTCTAGACCAATAAATAGTCAATTATCCTATTGCACTCTGAGTTGCTATTGTCTACTTCGAAAATATATTGTCCAATGCTTATTCGGAGGGGAGAAAATACATCATTATCATATAACCTATAAGGCAGTGATTTCACGTTCATGTATACTTTCAAGAAATCAAGAAGAAAGGAGGAGTAGAGAAAGCGTACATAGTCACGAAAAAGTAGACGGCTATTATAAGTCGATGTGTTGTTTCTTTTCTGATTGTTCTAAACGCATTGAGAGGAGAGAAGTATGGACGAGGAGAAGGCATAAATGTGATAGATAAAGGTGAGGGTGGTAAGCAGGCGTCTACTCTGCAGTAACAGCTGCAGGTTCAGCATCTGCAGCAGGTGGTTCAGACTCAGGGGCGGGGGCTCTTGGAACCTCACCTCCAATTTGGAAACCATCCTCAGTCATTACGACCTTAACTTTGGGTTCGATTCTCTCATACCTTTCGGTAAAGAGGGGACCTTTAAAAACGCCTTGACGCTCGCCAAAGCTACGGTGATCTTTAATGCGTTCGTACTCGCTGTACATGGAGATTTTAGGCTAAATAAAACAAAAAATCATACAATGGTTGCCATCAGGTATGAGTTATAGGAGTCTATTAAGCAGTAACTTCAACTTACTGGTAGACCACTAATCTTAGCAGCAAGTGGATCACTAAAATTCAATAGAATCAAATTATCAGAAACAGCCTTTCTCTGAAAGGGCTTTACAATGTGTCCATTTGATTCACTTACGGTGTATTTTGTACTTTAGTTCCACGTTTGTCTCTAAAATGAGGAGCCAAGTTTGCATGAGTTATGGAAGAGGACAGTCGAATTATAGATAATAAGATTGCTACTCACCCCTTGTTCATCTGTCTAGCTCTCTCAGCCAGCTCTTGCATCTAAAAATGAATAATTAAACTACCAGAAAGATGCTGACAAAATTGATGGACTCTTATATCGATTAAAAAGCTTACATCATAGCTTTGACGAGTGAAACGCTGTTCCAAGTCGTATTTGTCACCTTCAAGTCTCATGATGATATCATTGAGTTCTTTAGCTTTGGCACGAAGCTGTTCTCCTTTCAAACCGTCAATTTGAAGAGGTTGAATTCGCTGCTCCAAGATTGCTTTGCGTTCAGCCTCCAATTGTTCCTTTGACTTTTGAACTTCTTCCTGCTTGACTTCTTCCACTTGCTATAATTGGATAACCAAGATTATTTATAAATTTTCTGTTAGAAACTCAAAAAGGTTCATTTCATGCATGCAACCTGTTAGTAGACTGAAACAACACTCATGCCTCCAATAGAAACAGTGAGACGGTTATGTGGAAGACGATTAATTCCAATAGTATTCAATCCTATATATCCATGTTTAAATCCGACACCAATTTCTAGAACACCAACCACTGGCTTACAACCATGCATTCTCGACAACACATAACAGATGATTAACCGGAGTTAGTTGGAGGAGTTTAGTCTATAAACATTGGTCGTTTTACCTGAAGCTGTAGAAAAGAAAGACCCAAAAAAACATTACTTCAATGACTTGTTAGAGATTTATATTTCATCATCTTTTGTGTACATATCATGCATACATTTACATTCAACATGAATTAGTCAACAGTTAGTTATCTCACCTGAACCTGTTGATTTGAATGATAAAATCACAAATAAAATTCGGTCTTTCGAATTAATGGCAGTTTAATTGGTTGAGATTTGAAATGAAAAACGAGGAGCTTTCTTACCTCAACAGATCCTGCCTTTTTATTGATGACAAAGTTACGACGAGTAGTCATCTTGGACATCTCCGCGAATTCCTGACGTTTTCGTTCACGCTCTTCGCGTTTGCGTTGCTCTTCTTCACGCTTCTTACGCAATCGTTCTTCCTGGAAGAAATAACTCAACAAATCATTTTATACACTTAAAATTTAAATTTTGAATGTTATATTTGTGTGAGGTAAGATAGATCAACCTGTGATGTCTAACCACTAATCCGTTCTATTAACTTACAATGAAGTAGAAGTACAATTGTTAAAAAATCAATTTTATATAAATAAGAAATTTACATCTTCAGCCCGACGCTTTTGCTCTTCAATAGCGCGAGTTTCGGCCAAGCGGGCTTCTTCCTCGGCACGCTCCTTCTTTCGACGTTCCTGGAAGTATTTATTGAAGAATTCAAAGGTTAACAAAAATTTTCATATGGGAAGAAGTTTTCTCATCTATAGTTTTCCATTTGTCATTATTAAACTACCTGGAGGGAATTTTAAAGTATGTATTTAAAGATTAATCTAAGCCAAATAAACTGAACGAAGTTGACCTCACAAATAACTGTTTTCTTAAAGTTCATTTAAGATCAAGCAAGCTTTCAACCCATAACCATTTAATTGGCAAATAAATTAAGTTGCATGAAATAGGGTTTCCTTATAAATTAAGTAAATCTGTGAGCAACGTCAAAAGTAATATGTCTTGTAACTGAAAATAATGAAAAATAAACAAAATTGAATTATTAATTTGGGTTAAATTTATTACTACCTTGGCCACTGTAAATTACCTATCAAATATTTAATAATTTAATGCGAATCGAAATAAATTATCCAACTAACACGACGTTCGCGGAGTTGTCTTATCTCCTCTTCCTCCTTTTCTCGTTCAGCCCGACGAAATTCCTCATACTCCTTCCATTCCTCTTTAGCGCGCTCTTGGCGTTTGCGCGCCTCCTCCTGAAGCGTGAACAAATCGATAGTTAAACATGTTGCAGAGCGCGGTCAGGTGTAACGGTAATTTGAATATTGATTTTCCGCTTATTTTCAATTGATTTTTTGCAAAGTATCTGCCAAAAAGCAAATAAGACTCACCTCCATCTTGTATCTAACTTCACTGATATCCCCTTCGCTGAAATTAGGAAAATAATGAATATCATTAATTGTGATTTAAATGCAACGGAATATCAGCGTTTCATGCAGGGATAAACGATGACTTGACGTATTCAAAATTTGTTTAATAAATAGATTGTTAACTAAAAAATGACATAAGTAGGATCCGCGAAATGATAACTGTACTTACCGTCTATAAGAGGACAATTTAAAATAGCAAAAAAGTGATTTATGGTAATATTCACGAGTAGTTGGTGAGGAAAAAGAGAAAAGAGTAAAAATTCAATCTGGAAAACCTACGGATGCTGTGCTTGTTCATCGTCGGACATGTTTGTGAGAGCCTAGTACGTTCAGAAATCTCTGAAAGTCGAAATAGCTGGTGCCTACTAAGGGAGAGCTGCACCTAATACTGGCAGAAGACGAGAGGTAGCAATCGTGCGTGGAAATGGCGTGCATCTATTGGTCAGTTAGCGCACTACCCTCTTACCCATCTAACCCCCACCCCTATACATTGCACACGCGCACCTAAAGGGGATCAATGTGAACTTGGACACTCCATGTGTGCTATTGCATAAGGACGCCAAAGCTTTGGGGGAGAAATTTGGGGTTGGGGGAGGGGGGGGGCATCGATAGGAACCGAAAAGAACCATTCAGTGGTTATGTACGTGACCAGACAAGCATGGCCATAATAAGTCGGGATTTCTTGATAATTGCATCCAAGCTCCAAACCTGTTTACTAATACGTCATAAATCTCCTATTTAAATTATTAAGATCTCCCTGATCAATTTCTTTTCCCACACCCATTTGCTCCGTCTTCTTGATCTGGTACTCGTTACTTCAAGACGTTTACAATGGCGAAATATAGAATGTATCTGGTTGGGTTTTTTCCAAAAAATACTTAACAAAACTGATGTAAATTCAAAAGTTTCACATATAAATACTTCACAATCTTTATAAAATCATAATACTTTTAATGCGGTTGTTTCCTTGAAATCAACGAAATTGAAATTAATAATGCCATTATTAACTAAATTATAATTTCATTGCAGTTTCTAAAGGCCAGGTACCAACATTTCACACTTTATTTTTTCTATAGGGCTTATTTGAATAAAGATATTTCTTGTCCGTGGCTACATGGCATATTCGCGTTAAACGTGCATGACTATCGATCGTTACGTCGTCGTAAGCAGCTGATTGGGCAGCAACGCTTGCACGATTAAAAAGCTATGTCTTCTGATTGGTAGGCTCATCAACCACCAAATAACGTTTTGATCGATAACTCTGCACACGAAATCCAACTGGCCAATAGCCACTGGCTTTCCACTGTGTTCACGGTAAAGGTGTAATTGTAAGAAAGAACTAATATTTTGACATAAATAATAACTTAATTAATGAAATATTACGTAAGTGCACTTTGCACAATTTCAGGAAGATAAATGATGTTTATCAATATTATTTAACGCACTGGTGTCTGGCTAGAAATCGCATGAAAACATTAGGGCTTTGAGGTAATTTTATGTAATTTTAATACGTGAAATTTTATTCAACACGAATCTTGGTCTTTTCCGAAAGGTTAACTACTAACACCATATAAATTTCGTGGGTAATGATCGCCAATCATAATGAGGTAGGAAATGTTCACCATTGAAAGTACAAATTCACAACCTGTTTATTTATTTTCCGAAAGATTTTTAAGTCTTATTATATCACTATTAATTTTTTAGATCTATTTTTGGGGAAATTTTCTGCTTCGAATGGCATGGTATAAGAAATATAACTTGGCAAAATATCGTGTGCCACATGCTTTCTTCATTCGATTAATGGGCAATTCTGTCTGACATTATGTAGTGCACAGGCTGGTACCCATAGACTATTCGGTCAAAAATGATTACAATCGATTCTTTCAATTAATTTACAGTTTTCATAATGCTTAGGGTAAGAATATCGTAACGATGACTACTATAAACTAGAATATGTTGTAAACAATTTTGGAGGTCATCATAGGTGACAAAATGTATAGTTATCTTTCTTGTCTCCTTCAATCCCACGTATACAATTGGTGGTGATGGTTAGGTCAGTTGTTGGAACCCCCTATTCCCAAGTTCTTCAATGCAAATATTTCGGTAGATGTAACTCGTTTGGCAGTCGTTCTCTCAAGTTGTCCGTTAATCCTCAGGCCTAATGCACAGTTCTGATTGATAAGTGATTCTCCAATTGAAGATGAATGGTTAAATGCGAGTTGGTATGGGAAGTATTCAAATATTTAATAAGATTGCATATTTTAAAAGATCGTTTAGTATGTTTAGACGCGTATGTCTTTTTTAAATTCACTCATCTGCCTTGAACAATTACTCTATGGTGATCACATGTTTAGGGTACAGAGACGGTTCAAGGTCTGATAACTTCATTAGAAATGCCTTAATTCTATAGTGGTGTGATGGGGTGTGCGATAGACTTACCTCCACGTGGTACACCCTGGGCAACGTATACTCATAAGGCAAAAAAGTCCATAAACCGGTAGTTGACTTCTGACTTCAAACTACCATCACCCCACTGTATGCCATATTCGACTACTTCCACAGCACTCACCTCACCTTTTTTCTACATTTGTGTCTGTCTCTTTTACATCTTTGAATCTCACTTCTACTCCTCCTCTCGAATTTTTCTCACTTTGATGTTCCTTTCCCTCTGTGAAGTCCGAAGTCAACTAAAGGGCTAACGGTAGCCATCAAAACGCTTGCCATTTGATATAAATAAATAAATAGTGGTGTGATAGTATAAACCAAACATTTTGTTGCAAAGTTAAGGTGGAAATCGGATTTCTTTTTATTCAAGTTTGAACCAATCTAGTTAAAATCTAACCTTTGCCACCCAAAACATCAATCACTGTAAGTTCTGAAACAGAGCGTCTTCAAGGCTGGCGACGGTACATAGTTCTATTTGTTGAAAGCTCTATTGGCCCCGGAAAAATATCAAAGATTCACCCCAACAGGATATTTTGTACAATCAATTTTCAGGAAGCATTTTTGGTTAAAGAACTCAAGTTGATAAAATGTATTTTAAGAAGGATTC